CTGGTAAGATGGCATGCAGAAATTATAAAATTAAAAATATGAAACCGTAATTTATGAAATAAAGAACAATTAGGATCTAAAGGGTATCAAAATTTACAAAAAAAAAAAAAAAAAAAGCTTAATATTTATTTGTTTACTTTATTTTCTTTGCTATCGGAAGCGAATTATAATGACAAGGAATTTGATTTAAATCATATCAAAGACGGAGTACATCGATATGAAATACTACATTTAGTAAAGAATTATAAGCCAAATAAAATAAAAACATCTGCCCTGAAGATAAGGATAGTGCTGACAGATCAACTTCCAATTCATTGCGCGCTGCGGCGTCCCACCACCGCAGAGCAGCGTGAAATTGATAAACTGATTTCGGAATGGTTAGATACACAAAGGATATACCTTTATCCATTTTTTGCAGCAATTCCACTTTTTGTTTAATGGACTTCGAAACATACTTTCGCTTTGTAGATCCTTTACATATTAGTAAATATATATCGGAAATTCTATTTGACATAATCGTAAGTTCAAGCTTACTTTTATAAAATTGCTCTAACAGTCTGCAAAAAATAATAAGCCGGATCCAATTCGAAGATTAAGGAACAACGCAATCTGCATTATTAACTGAATTAGATAATTTTAGCTTAGCTTATACCGTCCATTATACATTAAACACGCATGCGTAAATGTATTTTGGGCATGTGCACACGCATATTTGCAGCCGTAAAGGTCTTACGCTCATGCGTCAACACGACAAGTTTGTAGCTTTGAGGTCTGGATTATGGGTGTCCGAATTAACGACTTTTGACTAAAGAGTTTCATATACCCTTCCTGCTTGTATTGTCTACTTCACACATTCCTGAACATAGCTTGAGTAAGCACCCTGTTCCTATTCAGGACCATTCATGTTTCCAAAGTAAGTCAAAAGAAATACTAGTCCTGATAACTTCATCTGAAACAAGATGTTTACATGAACTGTTCAAAATTCCATCCACCATAGCGATACATGCTTGACAGTGTCGGCGAAGCAAGGGGCATATACTGCCAAAGATGCCAGATATTCCACGCATACATGCAGCAGCTACTGATATTCAAAATATAAGATCCTCAGCTGAGTCAACTGGAGTTGAATAAACAAGACACTTTAAATGTTCCCCAGAAAAAGTTATCGGGGTGGCCAAAGGACTATGTCACTATGGCAATCCATCGCTCCCCAAAAAAGATAAGCAGGTAATTGCAAACATTAGTATTGAAGTGTGCAGCCATCCCATCATGCTGGAACTGCATTTAGTTACGAATGGAGATCAGAATATCTTGCAGCAGTTCTGGTAACATTTGTTCCAGAAAAATAAGACAACACTGGCCACTGAGTCACTGTGGCAGTAGATATGGGCCAAGAAAGACATTGTGGACAATACCCACACACAGATTAACCCTGATTCATTGATGAGATGAATGTGGTTGTGTTGCATTTGGATTTTGAGTTGTCCACACGTGAGAACTGTTTACACTAAATACATCCTCACGGGTAAACATTGCCTCATCTATAAATAGCCCATGAGCTGTGAATTTTGGCTGCAATGCAGATTAATGCAAAAGCCACTGGCAGAAGTTCAGGTCCAGAGTATAGTCTTGTGGATTCAAAGCTTGTACTTGCTGAAAATGAAAGGGCTGTAAGCGATTTTTGCTTAACACTCTCCAAACGGTATATTGGCTCACACCCACGTTTTGTGTGAGAGCTTTAGTACATGACTCGTTTGTTCCAGCCACAATCTTTATAAGATTCTTTCTTCAAATCCTGGATTGAATGCAGTTCGTCTTCAACCAGTATCCTGTCTGGTGACATAGAAAAGAACCTGTTTCTTAAAGTTGACTAAACCTTTTTTTGAGATTTGGTGTAACGTCTGGACAGACGAATGCATGATACATCCTTAGGGCAGCTCTGGCATTACTGTTTGTATGATCGTACATGCAATTCATGTCTACTTTTTTAACATACGTAAAGTCTCCCACCACTGATGACAGCACAGTTGGATATGACATTTTTCCCTACTGAACTCTACTGGCAACGATGTTTATTTAAGTACTAATGTGAAAATTGTGTTTTGTGAGGTAGTTTGAAGCAAGATGTTTTTAAATGAATGATAAAAGTTTTCATGGGTGCTGTTCTTCTTATGAAGCAATTTATGCGAGATGTTATAGGATCTCAATCTCATTTTAAAGTTTTCTGCCACCCTGACGGTATAATGGTTAGGGGACCCCGACTGTGATACTGAAGGGCCCGGGTTTGAATTTCAGAGAAGGCATGGATGTAAAATTGTCTGTCCCTTTATAGGATGTAATGGAGGCCACCTATTAGGTGCCTCCACAATAAAATGGCCACCACTTCTGGCCTTAATAGTGGCCAATGCTGTTACAGGTAAGCACCTGCCACTGGGAAAAAAATCAAGTTTTCTTATTGTAAATGCAGTTTAAGTTGTATTTATGACTAAATAAATAGATTGAGACCTGTATTTCCTTAGTGAATATTATTCGTATCTTTGTTCTGTTCTTTACTTCCCCTCCAAGTTTGTACCATGAATTTGGAATTACCATATTAAAAGCAGGGAGGGGGTTCAATTCAATCTGATGTACCACTTCTTGATAATGTTATATCAGATTTGATTGAACTCCTCTGCCTATGTATTTATTTTTGTGGTTTCATAATTCTTCTGGCTTTGGAATATTTTACATGTTTATAGAAATTTTGGAAAGTTACTGGTATTGAATTTCATTTTATTGGTCCTTTGTGGAATTGGTTTTAATTTTACTTTTTGTCTATACTGATTATACACTGACTACCAATAAGTATTTGGACACCTGTGATAGAAAAGAAAAACTAACTTTATTCAAAATCAATAGTTGGTAGAGTCTCCACGAGAGGTATTTACAGCGTGGACCCTCCGGGGCATACTTTCCACAAGTCTTTGTATGACAGCTAGTGGTATTTTCTTCCACTCGGCTTGGAGAAGACATAGAAGTTCCCTCACCGATTTTGCAAGGGTAGTGCACCCCTGAATTCGGCGATGCAACTCGTCCCAGAGGTTCTCGATAGGGTTCACGTCTGGACTCTGGGCAGGCCAGTCCATTCGATGAACTCCATTGGCACCATACCAAGCCTTGGTTAACATCGAAACATGACAACTGGCATTGTTGTCCTGAAAGTAACAGGGGTCCAACCCGTAAAACTGCTACAATGTAGGAAGCACATTGCCACCCAAAATAGTGCAGTAGGCATCGGAGTTGAGCTTACCATGAATGGGGACCAAGGGTCCCAGCCCATACCAGGAGAAACACCCCCAAACCATAATTCCACCTTCACCGAACTTGACTGTTGGCACAATGCATTCTGGCAGGAGACGTTCTCCAGGTAGACGCCAGACCCAGACCCTGCCATCTGAACAGTAAAGGGTGAACCTTGACTCGTCACTCCAAAGAACCCATTTCCACTGAACTACAGTCCAATTTCGATGTGCTTTGCACCACATTAACCGAGCAGCGCGGTTGGACTTTGTGATCAAAGGCTTATGGGCAGCGGCACGACCATGAAAACCAAGCAGATGTGCTTTCTTACAGATGGTATTCTTTGAAACAATACTCCCGGATGCCTGTTGAAACTCCTCGCGGATAAGGGCTATCGGTTGGGTGCAGTTCTTCCGAATTTCTCTGAACAGCACTCGTCGGTCTCTATCCCCCAGTTTCGTTGGTCTGCCGACTCGGGGCACATTTTGACAATCACCCCTCACCTTCCACTTCTTAATCACATAGGCCACTGTTGATATTGGGTACTTCAGATCGCTAGATATGTCCCTTAAGGATCGGCCACGTTTGTGATACCCGATAATTATACCTTTCTCGAAATCAGAGAGCTCCGAACTACAAGGCATCTTGCATGCGACTAAAGCCGATGCTGTTTCCTACACGATATATACCGGCGGAGTCCATGGTGTACCTTGGGACCACAGATATCGTCATTTGCATAGGTGTCCAAATACTTATTGGTAGTCAGTATATATATATGCATGTGTGTGTGTGTGTAAACTCTTAAAATATGAAGTAAGATTTATTTAATTGCTTAGATTCCCTCTTCGAGGCTCCATATTGCTCCATGTTACATTACACTTTTTCTGCAATAACTGCAATGCAAAATCTTTGGCCCAGTCACAGGTCAGGATTGAAACAAAGACTTCCCAATCTTATACATACTACTGCAGTTATTATGCATCACTCTTTTGGCACTTTGCCTTCCTGCCGGTAATGTCCTTGGCCTCAACTAGCTATTTCTACATTACAATTATACATCTAAATTGTAGGGTGCATTTAACACTTCTAATTAAGAAGATACATGCTAAGAAATTGATCTGCAAGTATAAATGGTGCTTTGGCTAATTAGATAGTCATGCTCCTTCCAAAATTCCATTCAATCAAACTCTTCAATTTCCAGTCAACTATTTCCAGTTTTCTTGATCATGATTGAAAAGTGATTGGTTTCAAAGTTATATTGACATACAAACAAAAATTATTACAAACACACACGCACACACACACACACACACATATATATATAGAGAGAGAGAGATTTGACAAAATATGTTGACCTATTAATATCAAAACAATTAAAAGCTGCTTTGGTCTAGGGCCGCTAGGGCCGTCTAACAACAAGCAAAATAAATCTGGCATTTAAGATGCTATGATGAAAGGAATTTGATATCTTTTGGCATAGAACAGAAAATGTTAGATGAATTACCACACAGAATGTTACATTCCAAATTCATATACAGAAGCAATTATAATAAACAATACAAAAACTTAAAAAAGAAGTTCAAATAAAATAGTCAAAAGTTATAAATTTGGGTTTAAAGTGTTTCAGAATACCCATGAAAGTTGTACATGATTAAATATAGTGCTAAGAACAACTTTGATATTAACTATGAAAAAACAGAAGATGTGTATAAATTGCATACCAAATGCTCTGGATAAATTTAAACTTTCATTAATACGACCATCTTGTACAGTTCCACCAGCACTTATAATGCGCTCAGCTTCTTCTTTAACAGAAGGTCGATGATCCACAGATAAATGAACTGCTCTTCCAGCAGTAGATAAAACACACCTTGAGTCACCCACATTTGCCAAATAAAGTGTAGATTTATTCAGAAGTACTACTGTCGCAGTAGATCCACTATGAACCCCAGGCTAAAATAAAAGTAATAAAAAATACATCAGAAGTTTTAAAATGTTTCTATTAAATTTATGAGCAAATACATAAAATACTCTTATGCCGTTTTCCTTTCAGTCTGAATTATTTTTACTACGCAAATCCAAAAATCTCTGAAAGTATTTGAGCGTAAACGAGACTCATTGTTATATAAATGCAGACTTAAAATTAAATTAAAATAAAAATCAGAAATACTGCACACATAGATTCTGAGCAATAACTGATTACACTGTATTTCCATATTAGGAATACATTATTCATTTGCACGCAAAATTATATTTAATTTGTGCTTCTCTGTACATGCTTAAAATATGCTTCTCCAGTACTTCAGAATGTATTATTGAAGTAATGTAAGTAGAATGCAATATTGCAAGTAAACCATTAAAATACAACACTACTTCACACGGTTTTGATGTCTTTTTCCCTGTAGGATGATATATCAGTCATCAGTCATTGTTTTCATTGGGAAAACACCACCAAATCTTTCTTGCTTCTGTACCTGACATTTGGAAGGCTTTCCGTGCTTGTGAAACAAGGCTTTTAATAATTCCCAATTCTTGGGTGACAGACACCAACTACGCCTGTCCTCAAGTTTGCCAATCATTCTACCACATGTAAAGACCTCGATATTTTCTTGTAGCCATACTGCACATTCATTCTCACTTTCTCTTGGAGAAGAATGATGGGAAATGTGGCTTCCTTTCTTCATTCTAAGTTGCCTTGCCTTAGGCATGTTGATTCCTTACGTTTTCCGTGCGATGTGAACTTTAATAGCATATTTCTCTCGATTTTTCATTTCTGAAGGAATCGTAATTTCACATTTATATTGAAAGAAAATAATTGTGGACTGTGGATAAACATACTCTGTTAACCATACATAAAAACATGAAAAATCACAAGCTGAACATGAACACATTTTATGACACACTTGAAGCATCACTCAGTGGAGGAGCCAAAAAGAAATTTGGGTATTTAATTTGTAGACTGAGGAGTGAAATTAATTTTCATGCCGTGGTTGGAAAGGCAGTAACATGTTGTATACTTGAAACGAGCAGTTACACCCCCTTCGTTATTTCGTACAACACATTTTTTAGGCCTTACCCTGGCCTACTTTCCTTTTTTGCATTTTTAAAATTTTTCATTAACTTTTCACAGATAGGAATATTTTTTAATGGCATACACAATCCTGACAGAAACTACACTGACTGTAGCATTCTAATTGGCAGGAAAATCATTCTTTCCTTTTGAACATTTTTTGCTTTACTCATTAACTTTTGCAAATACTTTATGTACTAGAATTAGCAGCATAGGTTTGAAATCCTGAAGGCTTGTAGATGTGATATTTTAGGATGGTACAATGACAGAACCAATTATGTTGCTGTCGTGATGGGGATGGGTATAGTGTTATAATATATAACGACGCATTCACAGTCAACTGTAGCCATCATAAAGATTATATATCCATTTTTATTTCTGAACAGGAACAATTCTTAGGAATCACTCAACATAATGAGTGCAATTTGCACCCCACAATTCAATACATGTATCACATCTTAAATAGAAGATACTGCACAGTAGTAAACATATGCTAGCTAGGTGACAGTAGGAGAGAAAGTGATGCATGTTAAGCAGCTGGGCCTATAAATAAGCTGGACTAGCTTGTTTTAATCCTGTAAGGTTATAGGGCAAGAACTTTCTCTATGCAGAATACTGAAATGAATTACATCACTGCAGAGAGAGAATGATGTCACTGCAGATGTCTTGAAAGGGTTGTATTTAAACTTAAATTAAGAATTTAAAAGGCTATAACAAATTAAGTTAGTACTTTGTTCCAATTAAATTAGTTATTTGTTAATAATTTGTTTTCATACTTTTATATCGCACACGTACACACACACAGACATGTACATATTGCACTAAAACTTGATGAAAAAAGCTTACCATAATTTGATTTAAATCAATCCCATTTGCATTGTCATCCTCGTCAGTCTTCCTTCTTTTTGGAGTCGGAGATTCGCTAAAATTTTACATAACACACATTTAACTAATAAATAGAGTATAAAAGATGTTATTAAACAAAAATAATGGTTTTAAACAAAGTAGTGACTACTTTTTTCCAATAGTGGCTAAAAATATTGTCAGATTAAATATATTTGATTGGTTAGTTGAGCTACGGCCAAAATGTACAAACGTTAAATTGACCAAACACAAGAAACTTACATGTGAAACCTTATAGAAAGATTATTACAATTGAATATAAATGCATATAACCTTTTAAATATACTGTCAACACAAACTGTCTCAATCTGTAATTGTAACATCTGTGGCATCTTCGTGCTCACATCTTTAGGAGGAATATCAAAGATGTTGGCAATACTGGAATATCTTCACAAAAAATGAAGTTTTAGATGGTATATTTGGTATGGTATATTTGTATATTTAGTTATGGCAAAGCACATGAGGGCTATCTGCCTATGGGGAAGGATGGCTTCGCAGAGGACTTTTTAAGAGAAAGTGGTTCACATACACATTACATATAGAGAAAACCACTAAAACGCTATGCAGCAAACCCGTTCACCGAGATTCAAAAAACCTGGACCAAACTACCACTGCTCAGCAACTTCACCACCCAACCGCTGGTCGGCTCATGAAGTTTTAGAAGATACTTCTAAAGTCTCAATGCCAATTCGCACCAATGTGGTCATGCATTGGAATATAAAATGGTAACAGATCAGAAACGAGTTCAGAGGCGGTATTTGCCAGATGGCCATGCGAGTTGACGCAACTTCAGCTTTTTGCTTTTTCCAAAATCAGTGTCAGATATCTTATTCTGAATGCCCAATTTTTAAATGAATAAAATTCCTCTTGAGGATAATATGAAATCAAATGGAATAATCTTCACAAAAATATCTAAATAATTAATAAGTTAATACATTAATTAAATACATTATTTTAAAGAAAATTCTGAAGTTTTAAGAGTAATTATTCATAAATGAGATATAGCTGATAAAAATTTAAAGCATTAGATTGTTGAGAGAAAATAATGAAAGATTTCAAGATGACAGATTTTGAATTTTATTTAAAATCTACACCAATTTAAGGTTCTTTTTACAGCCTCCTGTTGCCTAATAGATAAAGCACTGGCCTCTGGGGCTGAAGATTGTCGGTTCAAGGTCCCACAAAGGATGGTGTTGCAAAGAAGTTGGTATTTAATGATTTTCGGTACCATGTGCATTATCTTTTTTGTAACAATGAGCCTTTGGCACAATTCACAAGATGGTCTGAGTAAAAGTCTTTAAGCTGATGCCAGACTAGCAAAAGTAATATAGCATGAGGTTCCCTTTTTATGATTTTAAAAATTTAGTAAGTTCTTAGTTTTAAACAACAAGTAATGAGTAAATCTTTTATATCAAAATTTAGAAAAACCATTATTTATACAAAAGGAAGCTTTTCGGTATGTGACATTTAAATTAAAGAAAAGTTCCAGCTTTAATATTGGAGTTGATTTTAGAGAATACTTCTAGGCATTTTAATGGCTCCATGTTTTTCTCCAAATGCATCACCATTTTTCAAGTAAATTTTAATCAAACCAAAGTTTTAATCTTGATATACTTTTTCATTAGTTTAAGGATCAATTGCATGAGTATTAGCTAATTTACTAATTGTGGAACTCAATTTTTAAAACAGAAATGAAATATTATATAAAATGCAGTTCCTTCAATAACTAAATCAAGAACTTATATATCATCACTCTGTTTTTGGTCATAAGGATAAGTAATGCTGAATATTCATTCCCAAATAAAATAGAAATCTGGAACTTTGCTTTTTAAAACACCTAGAACAAACTCTGTTGGTGACAAGGGAATTAATCACTAGACACTAGATCTGCAGTTACAAAGTACTACACATAGCTCTTTATACTTAATGGAAGTCTTCCATTAATTATTTTCAGAATCTTGATATCCATTCTCACCAAAGAAATTACAGGAAGACACACTTTTTAATTATTTGCTTAATATTAGAAAAAGGCATGGTTTCATTCCAATTCCATTACTTTAGATCATTATCAGTGCCCATCTCATTACTGATGGAATATTAAAAAAAAAAAAAAAAAAAATTCCCGAATGCAAAACAGTTTCCTCTGGAGATAAATCCTGCTGTATGAGCTTGCAAAAGAGCACTGGTGGAAAAGAAAAGCACAGCCTCTAAACACATTGAGTGGTAAACAGTGCACACAGCATTACCCGTGCCTGCTCTCCAGAATTTCACATGAAGTGGACTTGACATAATCCAACACAGGAATTCTAAATACTTTTGTATGACCAACACAATATTTTAGGTAGATGTGCAAATGGAACTTCAGATGAAGTAGTTTTATGTTTTCTGCATACTGTACAATTAAAAATCTGTTGTTTTACAGTTTTGTTGGATAACGAATTCAAAACTCAGTTATAAATCGATATTTCTAGAACTCAAATAAGGTACAAAATTTTAACACAACACTCTTTTTATTCTTTGTAACATTAATAATTGCAACGCTTATATTACAAAACATCTAACTCATTAAATTCAAAACATTAGAATACTCTTTTCAGTTTCCAGACTCAGAATCACAAAGTTACAAACGATAAACACCTGAAGTTATACTGAAAATAATTATAAATAATAAAATAAAATTTAACATAATTTTAACACTCAGTTTTCTACATCCTCTCACCATGAGTTGAGAGACTTCACAACTCAACAATCACGTTACAAACCAAGTCTTTCTGGTATTTTCATACCTCTTTCAGATCGAGCTGTTACAGTTCGTGTAACCGGTTCTGCTACTCATGCTTGGGATACTTCAGAATGTGACAGTTGCTTTCTTTGCATTTTAGTTTGTACATCCTTAGCCATTTCACAAGTAATCTCTAACGGAAACAACTGTTGTATTAGTCTCCTTATTTCTCCATGAGCTGTCCAAAGTTTCACGAGTCTGGCGAGTCTGTCTTTTTCAGCAATAATTTCCGTTACTCGTCCTAGGGGCCAGTTAATGCACTTCCGATTGTCACTGCCTATAAGAAAAACATCTCCCACAGATATCGTTCACCTTTTCTGTAGCTTAGGTCTTTGAATTAAAGAACCCAGATATTCAGACCTGAATCTTTTCCCAAAATCTTTTTGAAGTACGAGTCGATATTTTAACCTTCTATTAAGGCTTTTGTGATCTGCTGCATCACAGTATGGTACTCTGATTTCCTTGATGTCTTGAAGAAATAATGATGGTCACAGAGGAGCAAATCTGAGTCATTTTCCGAAATATATGTGAGGGGTCTTGAGTTAATAATCGACTCACAGTCACATGGAACCGTGATCACCTCCTCATATGATAAAACAAGCATGACCTATCACTCTCTTTAACATATCTTTTATGATTCGAATTAACTGTTCCTACCAACCACCCCACTAGGAGGCAGAAGTAGAATTGAATTTCCACTGAATGCGATTCACAGTTGAATTCTCAATGATTCGATCCCAGTTCAAAGCTTTTAACAAATTATCGGCTCCAACAAAATTGGTTCCATTGTCACAGTAAACAAGTACCAATCAGTATCTACATTTTTTATATCAGTAGTCAAGCAGCTAGTTGAAGATGAAACAACAGTTTTCTTCCGTTCCTTAATAACTTCATCTTTATTCACAACAAATTCTGAAGACGGGCCATTTGTCAATAGCTAAATATAACCAATCAGGGCTCTCCCACCATTTTGACTGTATCATTTTCCTTGTCCAAGTCCTTCAAAATGGTAACTATAGCCGTTAAGCTTGACAAGTATATCGTGAACACATCATGCTGGCAGGTGGACGTATTGGAGTCACCGAACAAGGCATGCTGTATATACTCTTTCCATTTGGAACCGTACTTCATTTCTTCTGCCATTGTCTTGAGAATATACAATCGCTGAGAGTCAGAATCTATTATTGCTCGAGCTTTACGTTTAATATTTTTTCCCTTTACTAACAATGTTAAGGTCTGTAAAAAAACATTGGAAGATTTAGACAAGTTGGTTGGTTCATAATGCTTTATCACTTGTTTGCACAGTTCGCCATTTTTATTAACCGTAGAAGAATTATGTTCTTGTGACAAAGTTCTGCACAAAAATAAATGGTGTTTTTTCCACACAATCGGCAATTAATTTTCGACCTGCAAGTTTTCACCCAATGTCCATCTTTTAAACACAGTAAACAACAATGGGCTTTTTGAACAGCACTTGGTTTTTCTTGTAATGTTAATTTAGGAACTCTTTTACAGTTCCATGATTTATGTTCCTCGGAACAAAATATGCAGAGATTCTTATTATTTAGATTCAATGCCAAAAGTTCTGTTGCTGATGTTATGCTGGGTTGAATTTTCCTTTCAATAATCTCTCGACGGTTATTAAAATAGTCTGTCTTTTTACACTGATTAAAACTTTGAGTGGCAATCAAAATTCTCTCTTCCCCCTCCCCCTTGAAGACAACTAAGAAGGCGATCTAGATCATTCGTAGGCGTAATCTTAATCAAAATTTCTTCGGAAGGTTCTTTCTTCGCTCGTCGATGGGTGGTTCTAAAATGTTCCCATGCTTTTAAAGTTTCCGGAACAGCTGACTCAACAAGAGGATAAAGCATTGCAGCATATTTGTCTCTGGTAACACCCAAAGTCTCTTAGTTTTGTTTCCAACTGATTGTACAATTTTCGAAGTGAAGACTTTTGTGACTATGTTTTAAAAACACATTTTGCTTCAAACTCTAATGAAACAGTTGAGTGTCAATTTTCTGACATTCTCCCCCAAAACACAGCCAATTCTTGATATTCCCATCAAAAGTGGGTAAATTAATTTTAGGGTAATGTAACAAATTATTAGGTACAGTACTTACAACTACAGGAAAAGTAGATGCAGCAGCATGTTGACTTTTTTCATTAATGAGATACTTTAATTTATTCTTTAAAACTTTCCCCTTGTCAATATAGCTCTCTGATACATTGATATCTT